TAATCAGATATAAAGTACTGCTCTTCGAATCCAACCAGCTGTCATATTAGATAAAATCAGCATAGAAATTATGTAAATAATCTACAACATACTGTTGGAAGCAAAATGCATTACAATATTTTTACAGCGGTATTATGGCCTAGTGGGTATTGTAGAATTAAATGTAGAGATTGGTTAACTTGCTTACCGAAGAATGACAAAAAATACGTTTTCCAGTGCTATTGTGTAGCAATATTGACAATTCCATGTGTTGCAAAAATGTCATGTATATATGATTACTAGCTGTGAAGTTAGTTATTTGTTGGGGGGGTTGGATGGCTGAATGGTTAACATGTGCGCGCTGTATCAAAAAGTCTGTCATTGAGTCAACTGGCGTGGTTTCAATTCCCCGGTTGGCAGTTCTCACTATAAAAGTTAAAAACTAGATAATTTAAAGGCAATTTGCTGATCATGAAATTTCATTCAAATTGATCCACTATGAACCGAGAACAAATTGATTGAATATCCGCCTAGCCTTGATCATCATTACTAAAGTCAGTACGATAAATAGCATAGTCTTGATTATCCATTTAATCGTTAAATCGTGAAGGAAAGTTATGCAGTAAATTGGCTCACAATCCACTAAAGATCGCAGGCCAGCGATGCCATCTAGAGTTGATTATGGTCTGGATAGGTTAATTAATGTCTAATTAATAATTTAGATAACATTTCAGGCCTAAAGAAAGACCTGCAATAGACAGATTTAGCTCTTGCATAATGTATGTTTAATTAATATGTATCATCTATTTATTTTGGGATTTCAGAGGGTGACATCACCCTCACTGTAGGCTTGTTACACTTAAGAAACGTTAGATGCTATAAAAGATGATTTTGTGGTAGCCATGACTTTGTTTTTTAACCACTCCTACTTCTGGTTGTCACCGTATCAAGTTCATTATGACTTGGATTTCATCAAAGTTTATGTTTTTGTCCCCCGCCTTTTGAAGAAAGCAGGGGACTATTAAAATGAGTTCGTCCGTCTGTCTGTCCGTCCGTCTGTCTGTTCGTCCGTCCGTCCGTCCGTCTGTCTGACCGTCACACTTTTTGGGACACAATAACTCTCCTTCTCATTGACCTAGAATGTTCAAACTTGGTGTAGGTGTTTATTAGGTCAATGCCTTGATGGAGTTCGAAGATGAGCATTTTCTTCTTTGGGTAAGCAGAGATAAGCAATTTGATTGGTTGATGCTTTGGGACACGATAACTTCGAAGATGAGCATTTTCTGCTTAGGGTAAGGAGAGCGATAAGCAATTTGATTGGCCGAGAATTTGGAACACAATAACTCTCCTTCTAATTGAGGTAAAATGTTCAAACTTGGTGTAGGTGTTTATTAGGTCAATGCCTTGATTGAGTGTGAAGATGAGCATTTTCTGCTTAGGGTAAGTAGAGATAAGCAATTTGATTGGTTGATGCTTTGGGACACGATAACTTTAGTTCCAATTAAGTGAGAGTGATGAAACTTGGTTTATAGTTTCATTACCTCAATACCTTGCCTAAGTTCGATGATGAGAATTGTCTGCTAAGGCTAAGGAGCAATAAACATTTTGATTGGTAAGACTTTGGAACATAACAACTCTGCTTCTAATTGAGGTAGAATGTTTAAACTTGATGTAGATGTTCGTCTTGACTGAGTTCAATGATTAACATATCGAGCTTAAGCTAAGCAGAGATAAGCCATTTCCTTTGTCGATGCTTTGGGACAATATAACTTTGATTCTATCTGATAGAGAGTGATGAAACTTAGTGTATAGTTGATAATTAGTTTGATTGCTCGATACTTTTGAAAAAAATAGACGTGCGATTAATTAATATGTGTCATCTATTTATTTGGGGATTTCGGCGGGGGACATCAGCCTCACTGTTGGCTTGTTTAATTGGTTTTGGATTCCTCTCTATTTATTCTTCCACACCGAACAAAGTTAGGGAGGGATATTGAAATGGGTTCCGTTCGCATGTCGGTGCATCGCGATTTCGTTTCCAGAACATCTCTCATAAACCGTGCAAGATATCTTTTTGAAACTTTGTACACACATCAACCTATTACATTGGTTGTGCCTTTTGCTATTTAGGAATTTGTGGGATTTATATTTTTTGTGTTTCCATGGAAACAAATTTGACTTAGTTTTTCGGTGTACAATTTTTTTTCCGGAGCATCTCTCATAAACCATGCAAGATATCTTTTTGAAACTTTGTACACACATCAACCTATTACAGTAGTTGTGCCTTTTACTATGTAGGAATTTTTGGGATTATATTTTTGGTTTTCCCATAGAAAACAATTTGACTTAGTTTTTGGTTTACAATTTTGTTTCTGGAGCATATCTCAAAAATCATTCAAGATATCTTTATGGAACTTTGTACAAACATTAACCTGTTACAGTAGTTGTGCCTTTTGCTAATTTGGAATTTCTCGGATTTAATAATTTTTGTGTTTCCATGGAAACATATTGACTTAGTTTTTGGTGTACAATTTTGTTTCCGTGGCATATCTCATAAACCGTTCATGATATCTTTTTACATCAACCAATTACAGTAGTTATGCCTTTTGCTATTTAGAAATTTTTGGGATTTATATTTTTTGTGTTTCTATGGGAACAAATTTGACTTAGTTGTGTACAATTTTGTTTCTGAAGCATATCTCATAAACCGTTCAAGATATCTTTATGAAACTTTGTATAAACATCAACCTATTATAGTTGTGCATTTTACTAATTTTCTTGTGTTTCCATGGAAACAAATTTCTCTATTGAATGATTTTTGAATTTTTACTACACATTTGATTACACACAGAAACAAATTTCTGTATTGAATGATTTTTGAATTTTTACTACACATTTTTGGTATATAATTATATTCTAAAGAATATCTCAGAAACTGTTCAAGTTAACTTTATAACACTTTTACATTCATCAATTTTACATTCTGATCACCGTCTTTCTGTCCCGATTTCGTTTCCAGAGCATATTAAATTATCCATTTGAGAATTTTTTTTCAAACTTTGTACAAACATCAGCCTATTATAGTATTTTATTTTCTGATGTATAAACTTATTGTTTAACATACAGTAGCTGATTGAGGTAGGCAAAGGTTGTTATGCAAACCTTACAGGGAGTAGCGACCCTGCCTTGCCGAGCTACTGTGATCAAAGTATAAATCTCCTGACCAGACCCATTGATATTCCAAGAAGTTGTTTTTATACGGCCACATTTTCATGTGGACGTATATTGTCATCGCCCCTGTCCGTCTGTCCACAATTTGTTTGTGGGCACTCTACAGGTCACAATTCTCTTACGATTTTGACAACTTGAAATATAGGTTTATCTCCAAAAGATCTCAGTTCCTTTCGATATTGGCATGTATTGGATCAAAACTTCATAGATTATGGCCCCTGATTGTACGAAAAATCACATTTTTAGCTTGTGAACACTCTAGAGGTCACAATTTTCATCTGATTTTCATGAAACTTGAAATGCATGTTTATAACCCAAAGATTTGGGTTCCTGTTGATATTTGCACATATCGAATCGTGACTTCCTGAATTATGGCCCCTGATTGTATGAAAAATCGCGTTTTTAGCTTGTGGGCCCTCTAGAGGTCACATTTATTATCTGATTTTAAAAAAAACGCTCAAATATATCTCTGTGACACCGTAATGATGGTTGAGTTCGAATTTTGTGAAAATCGGACCAAAACTGCCGGACAAAATGGCCGCCCCTCGTACGCTAATAGTGTAAAAATATGGTATATCATGGTTATGGACCCTCTAGAGGTCACAATTTTGATCCGATTCTTGGGAAACCTGAAATACATGATTAAAACCCAAAGATCTTGGTTGGATCGTAACTTCCTGAATCATGACCCTTGATTATACAAAAAAAATCGCATTTTTAGCTTGTGGTCCCTCTAGAAGTAACAATTTTTATTTGATTTCACAAACCGTTAAAATATATTACCGTTACACCCTAATGATGGTTGAGTTCGAATTTCGTGAAAATCGGACCAAAACTGCCAAGACAAAATAGTGTAAATATATGGTGTATATATCAAGGTTGTGGACCCTCCAGAGGCCACAATTTTGATCCGATTTGGATGAAACTTAAGTACGTGTTTATAACCCAAAGATCTTGGTTCTTTTCAATATTTGCGCATATCAAATCTAGTCTACCTGAATTATGGCCCCTGGTTGTTCGACAAACCATGTTTTTAGCTTGTAGTTCCTCTCGAGGTCACAATTTTTATCCGATTTAAAAAAAAACATTTGAATATATCTCTTTTACACCCTAATCTTGGTTCTTTTCGATATTCATGCATATCGAATTGTAATTATGACCCTTGATTGTACAGAAAGTTGCATTTTTTAGCGCGTGGTCCCTCTAGAGGTCACAATTTTTATACAATTTTGAAAAGCGTTTAAATTATAATTATACCCTAATGACAGTTGAGTTTGAATATATAACCGAAACTGCCTGACAAAATGGCCGCTCCTTGTACACAAATAGTATAAAAGTATGTAATACCAAGAAGCGAAGAAGCCGGTTGAATTTTAACGATTTCGACTAATTACTTCTAGAGGTATGGCCCTTGTTTCACTTTTTTGGACCTTGTGAATGCTTGAACGACAAAAGTAATCATCCATGTCAACTTTCAAACGATAAAAATTATAATCTGATCTGTATGAAATTGTCTTGTAAATGCCCCCAATTACCTACAAAAGAATAGATATTCGACAACCTTTGTCGACCACTTGGACGATTTAGCTGATGTGGGCATGTTTCTGTTGCCTGGCAACCTATCTTTTTTAAAATCAAAATATCGTCATCTACCACTCTCCCTACCCATTTTTAGTGACAGCTGGTTTATTTTAATTATAAATCAGTACAGAAACAGACATGAGCTGTAAATAGACCTATGGAGAAAAAACCCATTAATTAAATTTACATGATTAAAATTATATTTACAGGTTAAATACAAGAATTTGTGAAGGATAAAATATAAATTGATCATAGATGAACGTATTTATGATGGAAAGAAGAAGAAGAATATTTTCTTGATGATTCAACAGTCTAACTGGTAAGAAATATTTAATTAGCAGTAAATGATCGTGTCATTTTACTTAAAGAAAATAAATGTAACTTGTTGAAAACCATTATATTCCTTAACATGATTGACACTTATTTCTTGTATCATAAACTGTCTATTGTATATCTCAGATCTGTCTCAAATTTTGCCTACAATCTATAGTGTCAAAAGACCCAGTAGGGTTATTCGAGAGAATTGCAAAATAATAACCAGCTGTCTGTAATGGAAGAAAGTCATTAGGACAGACTGTACCCGGCACAAGATGTCATATTTGCTGTCTTATCATTTGATGTTTTGATTGATACCTCACTGGCAATTGATTGCTTTCGTCACACAATATAAATTCTGTTGTTACATGTACAGTATCCATTTTTGAATTGTCATCAATGCACATTCATTGTAAATTTGTTCTTTTAACTGTCTTAGGTAGGTCTAGTTTCAAATTCTGATTTTCTAACAGTAGTTTTATGGGTCTTAAACAGCTTTTAGAAGGAAATCAAAATCCATCATGGTAAAATATTGTTCAGCCAGATAAGATATTTTAAATGAAGTGAATGTCTTATTTGAAATAATTGTTGTTTGAGTTGAAACATGGATTATTTTGTGTACATTTTGTTAAACAGTTTTTAGTTTGTTGTTAAATCAAAATACATCATTACAAATATTGTTCAGCTGGTAAACAATTGTTTTTGAGAATTGAGTGATGTCAGTATTGTATTAATGAATACATGCCTTTTTCGAAAATTCTGTCGAGATTGACCTTAAATTTATATACTGAGTACTGTACTTTAATTCATGAGTGGCACAGTGTGTACGTAATCTTATAAATTATATGTTAGCCTACTCTTTGGTGTTCTGATGTAGTAACAGCAATGAACAATTATTTCTAAATTCATGCAAGTAAATAATATTAGGGCCGCAGAAAGCAACTCTTGATTGGTTGGGGGGGGGGGGCTACCGTCCTAGGACTTTAGCCGAGGGTCCAGAGACCACCAAGGCCCTAGAAACTCTTGGGGGTCTAGATCATCAGAAACGCTTTCTAAGCGATTTCTGGCTAGTAAAATTACCCAGCATTGAAGTTTTTATGTTTTTTAAATCGCTTACCATGAAAGCACTGCAGGCGATTGTGATTTCCTGAACTGGACAAATATACACAATAATACCAAGATTGTGGACACGCTAGAGGTCACTATTTTTATCTGTTTTGGACGAAACTTACAATTAGTCCTGCAGCCAAAATTTCTAGCTTGCTTAGAAACACATTTCCGCTACAAGGTCTTCCCTTAATAAACAAACTATACATTTTTGGAAAGCTTATAACTCCAGGAACACAAATCCAGAGAGTTCCAAGCAAAATGTTTGCACTAACTCAATTTAGGGCCAGATGAAAATTGTGATAATTTTTAAGTAAATGCTATATTTATACTAACAATTGAAGACTCCAGGGGAAAAACTGGTGATGTCACGTTTTCTGACTTTTGAGTAAATGGAAATTTCCAGTTTAAACACTCATTTCTTCAGTTTGGAAGAGTTTTTTTTTTAAATATTGCAAGTTTCTATGAAGAATCATGCATTTAGTGAGAACATTTAAGCTGGTGCACACTCCCATAGCATTCCTATGGTGTATTTTGGGCATTTGATTTGGCTGACCATGGTTTGGACATCACCAGTTTTTCCCTTTTATGCCTTTCAAAAAACCCTCTGTAGAGAGTGACATGTCCAGTTGTTCCATACAATATTTATGGAGAAGAAAGAAGGGACCATGGGGTAAAATCATGAGGAAGTAATCGAACAAAAGCATAAATGTGGACATCACCAGTTTTTATACGCCCACATGGAAATGTGGTCGTATATTGCCGTTGCCCTTGTCTGTCCGTCAAGTCCATCGTCCACAATTTCTTGTGAACACTCTACAGACTATATTTATCATCTGATTTTTTTAAAATTGATATATGTTGTTTGCATTAGTGAGATGAAGAAGCCTATTTAATTTCACTAATTTAATTTATAACTTCCGTTAATTTCTTCTGGAGTTATGGCCCTTGTTTCACTTCGTTGCACCTTGTGAACGCTCTTACGACAAAAGTTATTATCCGATCTTTATGAAATTTATATGCATCATTTAAATTAGTAAAACAAAGAAGCCTATTGAATTTCAGTTATTTCCCTTAATTACATCTAGAGTTATGGCCCTTGTTTCACTTTGTTGAATCTTTTGAACGCTCTAATGACAACAGTTACCATCCGATCTGTTTGAAATTGATATGCATCATTTAAATTAGTGAATGGAAGAATCCTATTGAATTCCAGCAATTTCCATTAATTACGCCATGAGTTATGGCCCTTGTTTCACTTTGTTGTACCTTGTGAATGCTGTAACGGCAAAAGTTATTATCCGATCTGTATGAAATTTATATGCATCATTTAATTTCAGCAATTTCCGTTAATTACATCTAGAGTTATGGCCCTTGTTTCACTTTGTTGAATCTTGTGAACGCTCTAATGACAACAGTTATCATCCGATCTGTTTGAAATTGATATCCGGCATTTAAATTAGTGCAACGAAGAAGCCTATTAAATTTCAGCAATTTCCGTTAATTACACTGTGAGTTATAGCCCTTGTTTCACTTTGTTGTACCTTGTGAATGCTCTAGCGACAAAAGTTATTATCCGATCTGTATGAAATTTATATGTATTGTTTAAATTAGTAAAAGGAACAAGCCTATTGAGTTTCAGCAAATTTCTGTTAATTACATCTGGAGTTATGGCCCTTGTTTAACTTTGTTGAATTTTGAGAACGCTTGAACAACAAAAGTTATCACCTAATCTGTATGAAATTCATATGCATCATTTGAATTAGTAAAATGAAGACGCCTATTGAATGTCAGCAATTTCCGTCAATTACTTTTAGAGTTATGGCCCTTGTTTGACTTTGTTGAACCTTGTGAACGTTCGAACGACAAAAGTTATCATCCGATCTGTATGAAATTTATATGCATTATTTGAATTAGTAAAACGAAAAAGCCTGTCAAATTTCAACAATTTCTGTAGATTACTTCCAGAGTTATGGCCCTTGTTTTAGTTTTTAGAACCTTGTGAACCCTCAAACGACGAAAATTATAATGTCATCTGTATGAAATTGTCTATTAAATTCCCCTAATCACCTACACACAAATAATAATTATGCGACAACCCTTGTCGACTGCTCGGACAATTTAGCTGCTGTGGGCGTATGTTTTGTTGCCTGGCAACCTATATTTTCCCTTGTGGTCTTAAATTGTGAAGTTGACATAAAATCGAATATTGGCGAAAACACACCAATGCCTTCATCCTCGGTAAAGAATATGCTATTAGTTAAATTTTGATATTAACTAAAATGCACAAAACATAATGGACAAGGAAACATACAGAATTTGGAAAATTCATTCATGGTAATAGAGAGTTATCTCCCTTTCTGTCAAATGTCTGCCATTGATAACAGTATTTCATGTGCCTGTTGACTGCTGATGTTGTATGACGCACAAGACAATGTGTGAGCACACAAGCCCAATATTTATATCGTTAATGGGGTCCCAGTGGACTGCAAGGGTTGCTGAGCGGGTGTTTACGCAGAAATTATGGGCGGAGTGCCTAGTCTGATGAACAAGGAGATATGTTTGACATTGGTTGAGCAATATGTCTATGAAGTAAAGGAGACCAGACTCTGTCCGTAGTTTTGTAAATCGCATTGAAAACACTTGATTTTTATACACCCACATTTTCATGTGGACGTATATTGTCGTTGTCCGTGTTTGTGGACACTCTAAAGGTCACAATTTTTATCCGATTTCAACGAAACTTCAAAAATATGGGTTTATCTCCCTAAGATCTCAGTTCCTTTTGATATTGGCATGTATCGGACAGTAACTTCATGGATTATGGCCCCTGATTGTACGTAAAATGACGTTTTTAGCTTGTGGACCCTATACAGGTCACAATATTTATCTGGTTTTGTTGAAACTTGAAATGTAAGTTTATAACCCAAAGATCTCAGTTCCTTTCGATATTCGCGCATATCGGACTGTAACATCCTGAATTATGGCCCCTGATTGTACAAAAAATCACGTTTTTAGCTTGTGGACCCTATAGAGGTCATAATTTTTATCTGATTTAAAGAAAACATTTTAGTATATCAGCGTTACACCCTAAGGATGGTTGAGTTCGAATTTCGTGAAAATCGGCCCAAAATGACAGACAAAATGGCCGCCCCTCGTTCTCAAATAGCATAAAAATATCGTATATCAAAGTTGTGGACCCTCTAGAGCTCACAATTTTCTTTTGATTTTGACGAAACTTGAAATATAAGTTTATAACCCAAATATCTTTTTTCCTGTCGATATTCGCGCATATCGGACTGTAACTTCCTGAATTATGGCCCCTGATTGTACGAAAAATCACGTTATTAGCTCGTGGACCCTATAACCGTCATAATTTTTATCCGATTTAAAAAAACGTTTGAATATATCACCGTTAAACCCTAAAGATGGTTGAGTATGAATTTCGTAATAATCGTACCAAAACTAACAGACAAAATTGCGGCCCCTTGTACACAAATAGCGTAAAAATATGGTATATCAATGTTGTGGACCCTCTAGAGTTCACAATTTTCTTCTGATTTTGATGAAACTTGAAATGTAAGTTTATAACCCAAAGATCTTGGTTCCTTTCGATATTCGCGCATATCGGATAGTAACTTCCTGAATTATGGCCCCTGATTGTATGAAAAATCGCGTTTTTAGCTTGAGGTCCCTCTAGATGTCACTATTATTATCCGATTTAAAAAAACGTTCAAATATATCACCTTTACACCGTAATTTTGGTTGAGTTCCAATTTCGTGAAAATCGGACCAATATTGCTGGACAAAATGGCGCCCCTCATACACAATTAGTGTAAACATCTGGTATATCAGAGTTGTGGACCCTCTAGATGAAACTTGAAATGCATGTTTATT